GCAATTCTGTTGTCAGGAGACTAAAGAATTCACTTACCAATTTTGACAAACGAACTTAACTTAATAAAGGCATGATTTTTCAAAGGAAAAATATCGCATTCGATACTGATATCGAATCTGCATCCGAATGCGATATTTTCTCTCTTAAAAAACCCCGCCTTCATTACGTTAAAGAGCGACGCCAAAAACGACCGTTTTTTGGCACAATTTGGGCCAGAAGGGATTTTTCTGAAACCGGGCCCAAACGATACCTTATGATACCCTAAAACTCTGGTAAAAATTTTAGCTTGAGTATACGCACGGTTTTTGAGAAATGAGGGGGCAAAGTTGCCAAATCGCCATCATTCTGGACAGCATTTCTACAGCAAAAAGACGGGAAAAATGGACGAAAAAGTTACACCTTTGATGGGTTTCGGCTGTAAATGTTCTCATTGGGCCCCCAAGCATTTAACTGTGTTCAGTTTCAAAAATTTTGGTCGCACAGTGGTCCAAAATGGGGGGAAATCGTCGACAAATCAGGATTCTTTGTCAAATTTTTAGAAATGGAAGTAAAATTGTCGGTCTGCTGCAGTTTTCATGGCTAACAATGTTCGTATCGGTCATCAATGCATGAAATTGTGTTCAGCTTCCCAAATTTACATCGCACAGTGGTCAAAAATGGGGGAATTAGTGGACGAATTAAGATCAGTAGAGTTTAGATCCCGGAAAAATTATTTAAATTATTTTTTTGACTATTTAAATCTTTTTTTAATTTTTTCTCTCCATTTTTCCTTCTTTTTTTTAAAATTTCTGAAAGTGTGCATATTTTATTGAGATGATGCTACAAAGTCTATTCCATAACAAAGTTCTATAAACAATACGGTCTGACATGTAGTAATAATTAAAAAAATCAAAAACATGAATTTTTCCGGGATCTAAACTCTACTGGGGAACAACAGTTTCACTTCATTTTTAAAAAGTTTGACAGAGGATCTTAATTCGTCCACTAATTCCCCCATTTTTGACCACTGTGCGATGTAAATTTGGGAAGCTGAACACAATTTCATGCATTGATGACCGATACGAACATTGTTAGCCATGAAAACTGCAGCAGACCGACAATTTTACTTCCATTTCTAAAAATTTGACAAAGAATCCTGATTTGTCGACGATTTCCCCCCATTTTGGACCACTGTGCGACCAAAATTTTTGAAACTGAACACAGTTAAATGCTTGGGGGCCCAATGAGAACATTTACAGCCGAAACCCATCAAAGGTGTAACTTTTTCGTCCATTTTTCCCGTCTTTTTGCTGTAGAAATGCTGTCCAGAATGATGGCGATTTGGCAACTTTGCCCCCTCATTTCTCAAAAACCGTGCGTATACTCAAGCTAAAATTTTTACCAGAGTTTTAGGGTATCATAAGGTATCGTTTGGGCCCGGTTTCAGAAAAATCCCTTCTGGCCCAAATTGTGCCATTCTTGGCGTCGCTCTTTGTTTGTCAAACTGGATAAGTGAATCCTTTAGTCTCCCGACAACAGAATTGCGATCTCGAACTCTGAGAAAGATGACGAGCAGCTGAAAAAATGGAACCAATCGATACGATATATCGCATGTCGTTTTGACACAAAATATGACGTATCACATCGAATCACCTTAAGAAGTGCATGAAATGTACGAATTATTAGGATTCACTACCATGCACACAACTCTGTCAGACTCACAAAAAAACTTAAGTGAAATATATGTAAGTGAACCGGAAAGCCGCCTTCAAAACTTTGTGAAATGCTAAAAATCGTTAACACTCAACACTCATAAGATCCGTATAAAGCAATTTATAGCATTAAAAATGCATAACGCACGTTTTGAAGTTAGTATGAAATGTACGTGAAAAATGTGTCGGTACTAACTTTCATCAATGCAATTAAAAAGTATTAAAAATGCTTCTGCACATTTTCCCTTGAGAAACCCGGGTGGGTTTTTTACTTCGTACATTTTAAAAACATTCCTTGGAAACAGAAATCATCCTCTTAAAACCAAGTTTGCAAAATCTAACATTCCTTCGTCGCACCGATAGGGACACTGAAATAAAAAAGTTCACAACACCAATGCGGCGTCCTTGACTGATTGAGAAAACACGAACAATTCGTCGCTTGGCTGACATAAAGGCGTAACTACAATTTGAGATGAGCCCGAGAGAGCACTGAGTTATGTGGACAACAGGGTTCATCGTCGAGTGTGTTACGCCCCTATGTCAGGAGGTTGACGAATCAAAGGACGAATTCAACCGAAATCAGTGATAACTTTAAAGGCACCTGATTAAACAGAAACTCCTGAGAATTTCTGATGAAAAAAATAAAAACAGTGTATTAGAAAGACTCAAATTAACTATTAGTATTTTTCCAAAGACGCAAAAATGACATGTAACTGATCGTTTTGCTCCTTAACTGTCAAGATGGTAATCTGACGTTTATAGCCATAATAGTTTAATAATTACCTATTATGCTCCGTAGTCCCATTGGCGATTAAGAAATAATCCAAAGTAAACAATTTTTATTTCGAAAAGCGTTTGACATGAGCGATAAAATGTAGAGTTAAAAGGATAAATGTATAAGGAAAATCTGCCGAGACAGCACATATTGAATTTTATCTGAGGTTTACTTATTGAAGACAAATAAAGAGCCCTAAACGATGTCTCAGTCATCTATGACTTTTTTTTAAAAAAGTTTAGCTCATAGGAAACAATTTAAGAGAAGGATTTACCTTGTAGACCGGCGGTGAAATTTAAAAAACGCATATCTCGTTTGCGGAGTTGCCAAATCTCTGCGCCCGCCTTTAATCCTATCAGAGGAGGACGAAGTAACACTATTTCCTTGACATTTTCTCAAATTATTTCTCACGCAGAGAGGAAAAATCAGTATTTTTACTGTATTTTATACAGTATTTTTCCACTCATTTTTTTTTTAAAATGAAAAATGTAAAAATTGGTCTTTTAAAGGTGCCGAAAACCGAGATATGCTTTTTTGCAGTTCCATCGTAGATTGGTGACGCTGTACTACGGGAAACGGGACCCCTAAGATTAAGGTACAAGCAGGTCAGTTCATTTTGTGCCAGGAGATGGGGGCAATGTTGCATTTTTTCTAGACAACATTGAACCTCCAACCCGGCAGATTAAACTTCAAATCCGTAGATATTTCTCCAACCGTATTTTTTGAATTGCAAATTCAATGTCATTAGTCCGGTTCGGTTTGAAAAAATTTCCGCGTGCTTCATACAACGATGATCAAAAAACATTACAGCACACAAAAGCACTAATTTTTTGGTTTTGAGTTTTTCGATACCTGAAGGTCCTCTTTACCGTAGAGGATCACATAGCGTCGCTCCTCTGACGTAAGGGCATATCTCGATTTCCGCTTGTGCCCCAGAAAGCATAGATTTATATGCGAACAGGGCTCACGTGAAAATTGAGGTACGTCTTTACGTCAGAGGAGCGATGATAATACGGACAGGGCCGGATTTACCTACTTGCCGCCCCCTTCTCATTTGTTTTGAAACATCAAACCATCAAGTGTTACATTAATTACTTATGTTATGTTACATTTCATTAATTTATGGCGTCCGCCATTTTTGGGTCCTAAGGGCTCCATTCAGCCTAAGATGGCTGAGCCAATCAGAGGTGGTAACACCAGTGGCCATACTTTCTCAATATAGGTTCTCTAGTACCTACATAGCGAGAGTGTAGACGAATTTGAAACTCCGAAAATCCATCAGGCCTTCACCGATGCCTCCGCGAGTAAAGTTATTGCCCAGAAATGCAGCCAACCTATGGATTTAAATTATCCAGAGCGATTTACTGCGATCAATTGTTACGAACTCGTCGTTTATGAAGCACGTATTTGACTCAGTTTTTGCATAAATTTACTCATTTTTGCGGAAGAACGCTCATCTCTGTACAATCTTAGCCATCTTAGGCAGGGCCGAATTTCCTTACTTGCCGCCTGTATTTTGCCGTCCCCTTCTCATTCGTTTTGAAACATCAATAAAAACCATCAGGTGAACGTGCCGGAGAGGGAGGGGTGCATAAGACGCGTTTACTCGTGATGGACACATTTTTTGCAAAAGCCCTGTCAACACTACTAGCAAAAGTTCACGGAACTTGGCGCGAAAGTTAAGTTCCGTAAACCTATCTCTGTGTGGGCAAGGCCTTCCATTTATAAGAAATGAACGAAAAAATTATGATAGAACAAACATAAATGTGGTTTAATAAATTTAACTTCCACCGCCGCGCCGCGCTGATTGCACTGTGTTTGGCGCAATGCTTGAAGTATTCCTACAGACTTGTAGGTGCTATAGATGCGTTTCACGCCGACCGCTGCTAAACGCCTTGTGTTTGACGCAGTGCGTGAAGTATTCATAAAGTCTTGTAGGCGCTATGCTTTACACGTCGACCGCCGCTGACCGCGTCGTGTTTAATGCTATGCGTGAAGTATTCATACAGTCTAGTAGGTGCTAATATGTGTTACATGCTGACCGCCGCGCCGAGGGCTTCTCCTTTTGAACTCAAGTCCTCGTCACCATTGCTCTCTGCGCCGCGCCGCTCCAGGCCAAATTGCGTATTTGGTTCCCCTCATAACTCGACTAATTAAAGGTACTGTCTCTTGTATCACCGCAAAACGACAAAATTAGAAATTACTATACTCTTAGGAAATGAAAGATTTCGTCGCCTTAGCTCTTTGGTGATTTTTTTTTTATACCTACATCTGAAAAAATTCGCAAAATTTGCCGCCATGGGCCGCGGTCCATGTGGTCACCCCCTAAATCCGGCCCTGAATACGGAGCGATAAGAGCCAAAGCTTCTTAGTAGTATCGTAGCGACGGAGAGTTTAAGGATCCGTGTAATTTTGAAACATTAGATACATATTTCTTGGGATAAAAAACTGCACCTACGGACCTTATTTTCAGCGGCGATTCCAACAAATTGGCAACACTGTTAAAACTCCATTTGAATCCATTGAACAACACCAACTAACAACATACCATCCAGCGATGAGGAAAAATATTGGAGGTTAGGACGAGTTAGTCAAAAACATCGGCCTTTCGGGTAAGCGTCGTCGGTTGAATTTCCTCGATTTTTTTAAAGTTTTTTTCTATTATAGTAACATTTTAGGTTTAAAATATTCTATTAGAATGTCGAGCGCGTTACAGAGCACTATATCGTACATAATTCAGCTCGAATTTATTCTCAGATTCGTAATAAACGGGGTCCTGTAGTACGGAGTCGTAAAGGTTTTTTTGTGATCCTTCAGAGAGAATTGCAACGGAGAAATGTCATTGATGCGGATTCTTAGCTCTTATCTTGAACGTCATATCTTTAGTGTTATTAGTGCGCGTTCACCGTTAAAATGTGTTCGATTCTTATGCTCTAAGTTCTCAGTTTTAGTGCGAGAAAATGCTGTTTTTCCACTCCGATCCCTCACCATGTTTTCAAGCCCAGCATTTCGCTAATGTGTAAGTAGAAAACCTCGTTTTACTCTCCAGACTTTTCCTCCATTTTCTAAACTGCAAGAATCAAAATTACATGATGCGCTCCTGCTCAAAAAGTGCAAGTCCAACAAGGAAACAACCCACTAATATTGCTGTAATTATTGTGAATTACTCCATGTACTGACAATTTAAAAGATTCTCTAATAAGTCAATTGAAGACTCAATGGAAACACTGAGCAAACACCATATCAGGTGTCTGCTGTAAATAACTGTTGGAATGTTTCTCAGCATTCTGCCTCCCCTTTCAATCGTTGGCGACACCTTTGCAGGGATAAAACTCATTTTTTAGGAGCCTAATTAACTTTTTGCATATTCATTATGGCGCATTCAATTTTGGTACGTCAACTTTTTTAGGCGCCACAATGTCCCAGTCCTGTAATTTTATGGTTTGCCTGTAGAAGGCAGAGCACTGTCTTCACTTGAAAAATACAATGATTTTTTTTCTAAGGAAAGTATCTTTTGTGTTCACAGAAGCTGCATAGTTGGCGAACTGTAGATGATCCAGCAATCATGATATGTGAATTCAAATCTTCAATGTAATGTGTTAAACTTGTCTACGTCTAGTGATGCTCAATGTTGTTTATCTATGATTAGTTTCTGTCACATCACCTAGCAAGAGTGTGTCACCATTGCCCTCGATTTTGTTGTAAAATGAAAATGAAATTTTATCAATTAAAGCCTTCTAAAATCTTGCTCATATCTTGCCTTTTGTCACTCAGTTTGTTTCCCCCTAGCTGTGAATATCATTCCATGTCCATATGGCCCGTAGACAATGACCGTTCCAATTTATCCTGCAAGTCATGTGTGACTTTAACCATTCAAAAATACAAACTAGGAAGAAAAGAATAAGTCATAATATGCTACAGCATAAGTTCTATGTTTTAATGCTCAAACTATGTCTTCATTTCCATTTCATTCGCTAGATATCAATAATATCATTTTCAAAAATAGTGAGGGCATGTTAAATTTCTTTTGAAGTTTTCAATAATGAAACATTCTGTCTCTCTCAAAATATTCCTCTGTAAGTAACGCCTGCCTAATTTCCTGAATGTGGAAGTCACCGATGCCTGAATTTTGCATTTAAGGCGCAAAATTTAGGGTACCGATGAAGATCCGAGCTCAGCAGTAATCAGTTTGTCTGAACTATTTAAATAAATTCGATGTAAATCTTTGTTATGAAGCATTGATCTGATGACTTCTACATTCAAGGCACATTCAACTCTCACATTCAGCATGTGATTGTGGTATCAGATAAGAAAGGAATCAAATTTAAACCAAAATTTTGCAACACCAACAACCACAACAATGATCCATCGCATTATTTAGATGTTTTGGTATCCACATTTTGGAGAGAATGTTGAAGAATGTAAACTAAGCTGAGTAAACACTTAAAATTTTAACTGAGAGCAAGCGCGAATCGTACAAATTGACGGTGTAAGTCGGCAATCACACAACTCGGTTTGCAACGTGGCTGACTTCCTGTAATACTTTAATTCTGAAATGGAAAACTACTCAACAGCAATTCTATAAAACTGCCGTGATTTTTCTTGTCCGTGCGAAAAAAATTCTGCAAAAACTTCAAGAAATGGTGTCAATTTGTTCTCCTGTAAGATAATAACATAGAGGCGGAGATTTTCAGACAACCCAAATGAGATATGTGATTGCGGACTTACACCATCGAAGTGTTGATGTGTAGGTAAGACAGGTACTTCCATTTTGCAGCATGATGATTTTTATAGCAGGAGAATATGGTCACAGAAGAGGAGTTCAGCTCTCCATACGAGATTATTATTGACTAAACTTCACTGTTTACGTCAATTAATAATAGCGAATCAATGCTGAAAAAGGCTGACCAATAAGATGCTGAAAAAAGGTATGGTATATTTACTCAAAGCACAGCAATAAATAATATAAGTCAACACTGGAAAAGATCTTGGTACCGCATACAAATAAAATCCTGACCAAAACAACGCGACTTTCGGTGAGAATACTTCTAGAATCAATCAAGGTTGAGAGACAGAATACTTCTTCACTGCAGCTAAAGTATTACTTTGAAAGCAAAGAAGATTACTATGATCATACAAATGATTCGCAAGATGATTGCCATTGGGAAAGGCTGGGAAAACAGGAGTCATAGTCAAAATACTTGGAAACAACACTTGGCACTAGGTGAAAAACGATGAAAAATACGGGATAATTTCACTAAGATGGATGTTATGTGCTACTACAATGTTCTCTACGTAACTCGTCAGCTTTTCATAGAGTTCCAAAACTTTCGTTACCGGGGAAATCATAAATTTTCTTAAAATTCTAGCTTTCCTCCATAAGAGACCGTTGAAATGTTTTGCCTAACTTCGGCATAACCTTATTCACCGATGGATGGTATGTTGTTAGTTGGTGTTGCATTGAATATATCGGTTCTATGTGAGACAGGCTGCCTCACCTAGAATTGATTATTTAACATACATTTAAACGGAGAAAAACGGTGTTGCCAACGTGTAAGAATCGCCGCTTTGCGTTTCCGTAAAACTCGGTCCAAATTTGAGTGCCCAAATGATTCTAGAGAATTCGTACAGTGACCTATACTTCTACGACAAGACAAACTAAAAACGCTACCGTTCAGTCACTTTTTTATCTCGTTTTCCCCCGAAACACACCGAGGCAGTTGCTCTGACTCTGAAGAAAAAGGAAAAGTAAAGGTCAAGTGCGTTACAAGGCCGACAACTCGCTGATCCGTTTCACTAAAAGTTGTCCCGTTTGAACCAGACCTCAGCGAGCAGAAAAAACGATGGATATTCAGTATTAACTGATCATCTCGGTGAGCGGATTAAAGTGACGCAAGAGTCGAGGTATACGCTCGAGCTCGACGCTTTGGCGATCAAGATAGACCGCATCCCGGACTCGCACCAGCTACAGAGAAAAAGCAAAAAGGACTCTACTTACCAAGATGCGCACCCTAGTACTTGTACTTTCGTGTTTCCAAAAAGAGCAGTGGCTTTTTTGCAGGGTGGTAACACTGCTTTTCCTCCATTTAAATCCATTAATAATATCGATTCAGATGAGGCAAACTGTGCCGCAGCGAGAATCGATAGTTTTACATACATTTAAAGGGAGGAAAAAGAGTGTTGATTTCAAGAAACGCCACTGGAAAAGAACAGTAGGTGCAAGACTGCCGTGCTAAGGAAAAACGCCGTATAAGCCCTCAGGTGTTGCCAAATTTCCTTTAGTAAACCATTAGTTTTCGGAAAAATTTGTAAATACTTTTTTCCAATTTTTCAGATATTTTTGTTCGCAATTTCACCGAAAGTTCCTGGAAATTTTAAGGAAAAATATTCAATCCATAGCTTAGTTCAAAAATAAAAATTTTATCGAGGGAAATTTGGCAACTCTTGAATGTTCATACGACATTTTTCCTTAGCACGACAAAAGAGCGGTCGGCATGTAACACATATTAACGCCTACAAGACTGCATGAATACTTCACGCATAGCGTCAAACCAGTGCGGTCAGCTGCGGTCGCCGTGTAACGCATAGCGCCTACAAGACTGCACAAATACTCCACGCATTGCGTCAAATAACACAGTGCGTTCAGCAACGGTCGGCGTGAAAGGCATAGCGCCTACAAGACTGTAGAAATACTTAACGCATTGCGCCAAACATAGTGCGCGATCATTACGGCGCGGCGAAGCTAAACTTATTGAACCACATTATGATTGTTCTTTCATAATATTTTCGTGCATTTCTTATCAATGGAAGACCTTGTCCACGCAGAGATAAGTTTACGGAACTTAACTTTCTCGCCAAGTTCCGTGAATTTTTGCTGGTAATGTTGACAGGGCTTTCGCAAAAAATGTGTCCAACACGAGTTAACGCGTCTTATGCATCCCTCTCGCTCCAGCACGTTCACCTGATGGTTTGTATCGATGTTTCTAAACGAATGAGAAGGGGGTGGCAGAATACAGGCGGCCCATGGGCGGCAAGTAGGTAAATCTGGCCCTGAACACGTCAGTATATAAAACAAAACTAACTGAACAAACTATACTCGGGAACGAAAGCATCGACATATTTTCAATGACATTCGATGAGTGAGGTAAAGTATATGGAAAAACTAAAATCGGTCCGTGATATTGCTCCGCTTTATGAGGGTTTCACACTTATTTTTTGATAACACTCCGCCATTTTTTTTTAAATCTTCGAAAAAATTGAGCCGCGCGGATGCAATATTAAGTAATCCTGTACTTAAACATCAGTAAGGCGTATCATACGACACTACATTGCTCCGCGCTTAACTCTCACAGCTGCCCTGCATCTAATAGTACTTTATTTCTTTTTCGGAAATAAATAATTAAAAATAACTGTTCATTTCTTGCTTATTCGAAGAATGCGAGGTGTTACTCTGTTACCTCAGTGCGTCCTAAAGAATCCGTAGTTGAGCGTGTTAGAGTTAACGTGATAATTCTTTTTAAAGAGAAATCAATTCAGCAAATACAAGTACTTGCTTCTGGAAGGGCTATTTTCTCAAATTTTTGATTTGTACCAATCATAGAGGGTGAGATGTAAGTAGGAGGAGAACTGAGTTGAGCGCTAGATCGAGAAAAAATATGAGGTAACTGAAAAAGTTGGAGCAACTTTCACGTTCGCGATGTCTTCTTGAGGAGAAAACGGAGTTTGAGCTCTGTCGGAACGCTTGAGTTCGTGTTATGTCAAGCTTTACGTCCGCTGAAAATCCAGACCAGTAAATCTTATAAAATAGGTACAAGGTATAATAATTTTTTCTCGGAAAACACTCAGGAAAACTAACGCTCTTGCATTTCTTGGCACGTCGACTTATCCATTACAAAAAAAAAAAGTATACTAAAACTTAGCTCGAGATTTTTGATACTTATTATCTAAACTGAAAAAAAAAGTGCTGAAGTATCATCCCAGATGCTAAAAATCTGCGCGACAACTCTTGAATGTTGATATGAACGCTACGGTTGTTAATTCAACATAGCTAGGATGTTAACAGCCAGAGTATTCATAACAAAATTTCAAGAGTTATCGCGCAGATTTTTAACAACTGGGATGTTACTTCAGCAATTTTTTTTTCGGTGACCTGCTGCAATGTTGCAAATGAATGTACTACATCCAAAGTAATGTCTACTTTATCCGCAAACGCCCCAGAAATAAATTAGACCTGATGAAGGCAAATTGAAAATTTGAAAAACTATTCCTGCTTGATGATTGTCCGTGTTGCATACCCAAATAACTGAAGGCAAACTGCTCTCTCGACTTCTCGAACAGTGCAAATTTATAAACGCGATGATGATTTAACAACGCTTGAATGCGACTGTCCCTGCAGTGCGGATGTCCGTTTTGCTTATGAAAAAACTCAAAAAATGAAAGCGCACTTTACGACAACAGCGACGCGTCTCGCGTCATGCTCAAACAATACGGGCTTTATTTTACATTTTCAGTAAAAAACGGAACGATCACGTCTAGAGACATATACCATTTGCTACCCCTAACAATCTCTTCTGAAAATTCTAAGTAGAGGTTATGGTGGGTTTGGAACGCAAAATCCGAGAGATTGCATCAGTCGATCAGTAAAATTGAGAGGTGAACCATCGCACTCGACAAGTCTCTGTTTTTGAGAAGTGCACATTTATTTTTTGCAAATGCAAGACGAGTAAACATCCGTCGAGGAGGTATGAGTGCGGG